ACAACAGGATGTCGCGACGGCGCCACAGATGTCTCAAGTTGGCAAATGCCAACCGAGCCTTCTGTATGCGAGCGGACACTTGATCCGTGATGCCTCCACCGGATGAGATGTAGCTGCCTAAATAACAAAACTTATCCACCTGCTCTATTACTTCCCCAGTTAGGGTTTAGCCGCCAGACAGTTTGCGGTCTTGAATATGAGTAACATTCAGAGCTGGGGTAGTCAGTGTTTTCCCGCACGTTTATTGTACTGTTTAGTGCTTGTGCAAATTTGACGGGTTTATCAAAACAAAGTTTTCCTAACACATTTGAGTGTATGAGTGACTGGAGGAACTGAGGATTGTGGGTGAAGGTGAAGTCTGAAGGATAGCCAGTTATAATCAATCAACATTTGGTAATTCATGTTTTCTGATTACGCCGGCTTTGCATTGCTTTCGTTTACTTCGTTGATCATTATTTCTTCGATTGCATTTCGGTAGCACACCCGTTATTCCCTCCGGTTGCTCACATTTAGAATGCACCTCATGGAATAGTATTATTTTGTTTTGTCTATCCTTACCATCATGGGCAGGATAATCTGTGATTTAGCACCGGATTACCGGAAACCGAAGTTGTATAAACCGCACGAGACTCAAAAAAGATATATGCATTGTTGTTGAAGGATTCTCCGAGCGGGAAATGTTGTTTTACAGATGTTTCCTAACCGTGCTAGGCAGCAGCATCAGTGCCTTTTCGGAGAAGGTTGATAAGTACATTCTGTTGAGCCATGAGATAGCACGATTATTGCCGTTATTTCTACCACCTATCAGTTTGATAGATCCGTTCATCCTGATCCGACCCGTTCTCGTGCACTGCACTGCACCACACTCCACTTACAGCATCTTTTTCACACACCCGGAAATGAGTCTCAAGCCACATCTGAGAAAGACGATCAGATTGTGGCCGGTATCACTCAGACCATGACCAAGCAACTGCCTCCGTCTACTGCGTACGAAATCACGGTGACTGTGTTGACCAATGCGGATGAAACACGGGACAATGGAAACAACAACAACAACGCGTCAGCGACCAGTTGGCATGCTCAACTCCTTCGTGATCCCACCGTGTGGCTCCAGGATCACGTCCAGTCCGCATTTCGATCATGGTTACCCTATGTTGATATCCAATTCTTCTCTCAGCGGTTGCATGCAGTGAATATTGAACATCTTCAACCTAGGTAAGCTCCTCCTTACATTCCGCATAGAATGATTCGGTGTTTTTTTCTCTATGGTGAAATCTTTTTATAGTTCTGTACAGCTTAACTCAGTTGATTTGAAGTGACGGAACTTCTCGTGCTTTATCCACCGGCAGCGCCCTCCAGTTGTTTTCTCCTGACTGTCGTGGTTCAACCGTCATTATTATTATTATTATTATTTTATTATACACATTTGTATGGGGAACAGCAGATGGGGTGAACCCCATAGTCACGAAGATCTGGTACTCTGTCGGGAACTGAAACCCCGGGACTTGGAGTGGCAAACCACATAAAGCCCTGCTAGATTACGATTGGCATTAAACCGAACGATAACAAAGCTGCCCACCCCCCAAAGATGGGTGGCAACGGCGGAGCTCGAACCTCGGACCATAGGGTCCAAAGCACGCCAATGACCGCGACCGGATCACTGCGCCACCACCACCACCATTCATAGTCTTACATGTAGCCAATAATTTCCGGTCATAGACATGTTAGTGTTTTCGAAGTTGCAAGTCAAAATTTTAGTTCTCTTGCATAGCTACAATCCAGCTCTGGTGCACAAACACTCGCACACAGTCTGGTCCATTCTTGTTCGATGCATGCGCGTTTGTAATCATGTACGGGATACGGGTATTATTATTATACGGGCTATTATATATTATATTTCAAAACATGTCCGAGGCCAGGCTATGTGCCAAACAAATCATGGTACCATAATCTTAGTGAAAAGAAAAAACGGTCCATGATTTGTTTGTGGACCGAATACTGCCAGGTTGCCCTGGTCAAGGCAGGTGAACTTTTTTAAGGAATCCACAACCGGAGCCTTCGGCTGGCCAAAGCATGACCCGCAAGGCAGCCTGGTGGTGTGAGAAAACCGCTATCCATTGGGAGCCGGTGTCTACTACATGGGATCCTACGCCCTTTGGGGACGGCGTCAAACGTCCAAGGTGCCCAATACGCCTCGATACTAAATCGAA